TCAATATTGCACTCTTCATGCATTCCACTTCTACAATGATCAGGTTATGAGCCTGAAACATTGCTCTTAAAATGTCATCTAACTGCTCCTGACATCCCTTGTGGTCCATCCAGCATTGGAATTTCAAGTAGAATCATCAACCCAGTGAAAACTTTGACTTTTGCATCAAATTGGGCCTTTTGCTCTTCTAACTCCATCAATACTGCTTCAATTCTCGATATCTCTTTGTATCTGATCAGAGCGTCACTGCTTTCACCATCACTGACAGAGCAAGCCAACAGCATTGACAGATCGCGTGAAAATGGAGTAGTGAGATTTCTCAATTTCAATACTCCTCCCTTAACCAGCAAAATCACCGCTTCCCAACAAGCCTTTGGTAGTGGTATCAACGCTCTTGGCTGGGAGTGAAGGCAAGTCCTGCAGAAGCGCAGGTGAAAAGTCGAAATCACTTCCACACTTTTCGCTTCTTACACTCATTACTGCTCTCTATTCCAAAAACTGGACCTGCTGAGTTGTGGGAGGTGCATGAGGCTGGACACCCCAGTGGCGCGCCTCTGAGTCCTAGGACATACCAAGCACTCCTTGCAGTCAGCTGAGTCACTCTGAGAGTCTATACTTTGTCGTTTGAACTTCACTGATTTTACATTTTGCAATTTGCAAAATATTGCTCTTTCCATTATACAAATCAATACTCCCCACTTTTGTCTTTTTTACATTACTCACATATCCACCATCACTGCATCTATTACCGCCGCCAAACTCAGCATTGTGGCTGCCGGTGTTCCAAAGTTATCTTGATTTTGTAAATTTGAAAACACAATCTAAATTTAAGAACTCAAATATCGTGTTTTTGTTTTACTTGGTGAACATCCAACCGATTGGACAGGATTTTACTACACCGTTGGAAACATATTGCGTCTACCACCACACTTAGAATCAGCTTCGTTCCTCTAATCGTTGACGAGTTATTCAAATTTGAAAAATGTCCAACTCATCTGACACAGAAGTAAAAGTCAAAATTGCAAAATTGCAAGGAAGGGAGAATTATGCGCAATGGTGCTTATGACAAAACACTCAAGTGATGATTTCTCAGGAAATACTTAGCCTTTGTCGCAAAGTCTTTGCAGCATGATGAGTTACTGTGGCCTCTATCGTCAGAATCAATCTCAGCTTTATTGGGACTGGGTTCAGGGAGAGAGTACAAAAGCGATTCTCAAAAGTTACAATGCGCAAATTGGCAACTGTTAGTGGAACTCAAAACCACCAAAGTGGCAATTGCTCAGGAAGTACTTAGCCTCTCGTTGCAAATTCTTGGCAGCTGAATACCCTGTTGTGGCCTCTATCCTGAGTATCAATTGCAGCTTGATTGGGGCTGGGTTCAGGGAGACAGTACAAAAGCGATTCTCAAAATTTACAATGCGCAAATTAGCAACTGCTCTGACACAAAACCACCGAAGTGACGATATCTCAGGAATACTTAGCCTATTGTTGCAAACTCTGCGCAGCATGATGCGCTACTGTGGCTTCTATCATGAGTATCAATTGCAGCTTGATTGGGGCTGGGTTCAGGGAGAGAGTACAAAAGCGATTCTCAAAAGTGACAATGGGAAGCGAAGCAAAAACATTCACTTCTGATCAAGCCACTGTTTTGCTCATGCGTGAACCCTGAATTTGCTTTTTGATTATCTAAGTCCCTGCAAGACGGATTTGACTGATCTTTGCGGTGAATATCTGCGCCACTACCAACGATATGTGGCGCAAGTTTTACATTACGATTTCCAGGAACTTTCAAGTAATCTGCTTTTGTAGCAACTCATCTTGATTTTTGCAACTCCAATTGAGATAGTTGTGAGTTTTGGATTTGCGTTCTGATTATCTGAGTCCCTGCAAGACGAATTGGGCTGATTTTTGCAGCGAATTTCTGCACCACTACCAATGATATGTAGTGTGAGTTCTACATTAGGAACTCCAGGAACTTTGAAGAAGTCTGATTTTGTAGCAAAAGTTACTCATTTTGATTTTTGCAACTCCAATTGAGATAGTTGGGAATTACGGATTTCCATTTTGATTATCTCAGTCCCTGCAAGATGGATTGGACTGACTTTTGCAGTGAATATCCGGGCCATCACCAATGATATGTGGTGCAAGTTTTAGTTCAGGAACTTGAGGCGTACTGGAGAAATCTGATTTTGAAGCAAAAATGACATCTTTTGTGATCCAAATCTTATGCGCAATGCAAAAGCTGTTAGATCCGTAAACTGACTCCCCCGCGGCAAAGAGTGAGTCTCCAAATTGATAACGCGCAAATTAGCAATTGCTCATGACCCAGAACCACCAATGTGACAATTTTTCTGGGACTAATGTGCCAACAGCTCTCTAAGCTCCTCGCAGCCAGACGCACTGTTGTGGGATCTATCAGGGGCATTAATTGCAACTCAATTTGGGCTGCCATTGGGGAGAGAGTACAAAAGTGAATCTCAAAAGTCATAAAGCGCACATTGGCACTGCTCATGACACAAAATGACTAAAAACAATGATTCCTCTAGAAATAATGTGCCGACCGGTCCAGACTCCTCGCAGCAGGATGCGCCGTTGTTGCTTCTATCATTGTTATCAATTGCAGCTCACTTCACGCTGCGGTCCACAAGTGGTTACAGTCTCAAGGACTTCTCCCAGTAAAAGGGGATGCAGAATGCATAGAGACACTAAAATATTGAATTAGTGATTAGTGAGATTGGAATTAAACAAGTTCACTTCTGCTGAAGCGACTGTTTTGTTGATGCTTCTGGTCTGTCCTTGCTGCTGATATTGGAAGCAATGATATTCTTTCTAGATCCAAAGAGATATCAAAGATTGGTGTAGTTTGAATGGAGTTAGAAGGAAAAAGCGAGATAAGACGCTTTTGCGCATTTAATGAGTGACATTGGTATCAAAAATCTTCCCTCTCATAAAGCATTTGTTCCGCTGATGCTGTTGGTCTGTGCATGCTGGTGGTAGTGGAGGCAGTGACACTCTATTCAGATTCAAGGAGATATCAAAGATTGGAGTAGTCTGAATGGAGTTAGTACCAAAAAGCAAAAAAAGATGATTTTGCGCAACAAGTGAGTGACATTGAGAACCCAAAACGACCACTTCTGATGAAGCGACTGTTTTGCTGATGCTGTTGGTCTGTCCTGTCAGATGTAGAAAGTAGAATGCATGAAGAGTACAATATTGACAGAGGTTAGATATGAGACGAGGGAATACGCGGAAATAGCGATAGCGCTCCAATGTGGCAGTTACCGATTGCTCTATTTCCGACACCCCCACTCAAGCGGATCTGCCACATACCCCTAATAACTCCCTCAGTCTATCAAATGTATCTGAAGGAAGAGCCTTTGTCAATAAGTCAGCCATATTCTCTGCTGAGGGAACATGTGACAGAGAGACAGTGTTATCTTCAACTTTCTCCCGAATATAATGATGTCGCAGGTCAATATGTTTTGTCTTGTTATGATGAACCGGATTCTTGGCAAGAGCTATAGTTCCCGCATTATCATTGAGGAGTTTCAAAGGTTCTTGACCAAGTCCAAGTCCCAAATCATCCAGAAGTTGTCTTAACCATACAGCTTGGCGTGTAGCATCTGATGCTGCCATGTATTCCGCTTCTGTTGTTGAAAGCGCAACTGTAGGCTGTCTCCTACTTTTCCAAGCAACAACTCCACCATAAACTTTAAAGACATATCCAGTGGTTGATCTTCTAGTGTCCAAATCTCCTCCCCAATCTGCATCTGCATAACCTAATGCAATACGATTGCTATTCTCTTTGTTGAAGGTGAGACAAAGATCAGAAGTACCACGGATATAACGGAGTAGGTGTTTGACCGCTTTCCAATGTGAGTCATTCCATTTACTAAGGAATCTAGATAAGAGACTTGCTGGGAAAGCAAGATCAGGTCGAGTTATGGTTGAAGCATAGAGAATAGCCCCCACTGCTTGGGCATATGGGTAGTGTTTTGCTTCTTCATGTTCTTCATCTGTTGCAGGGATTGGACGAAATCCAGAAGGTAGAGGAGTTTTTGCAGGATTGCAATCTTTCAAGTCAAACCTTTCAAGAAGTGATTCAAAGTAATGTTCTTGAGACATAAACAGTTTGTGATTTGTTCTATCACGGTGAATGTTGAAACCAAGAAAGTATCCAACTGGACCAGAGTCTGAACACTCAAATTCTGAATTAAGTGCCGCTTTGAAGTTGTCCAACATAGTTCGATTGTTACATGCGATGAGTTGATCATCAACATGTACCGAGAGCATGAGAATATTATCTCCTTCACGCTTTGAATAGAAACAAGGATCTGCTTTTGTAGGAAGTAGTCCTTGAGACTGTAACCACTTATCAAGTGCTTTGTTGAAACATCGTGGTGATTGTTTCAAACCATAAAGTGACTTGCGCAACCAAAGTACTTTGTTTGCTGGGATGTTGGATCCTTCTGGTGGTTGCATGTAGATTGTTTCTTCCAATTCCCCATTCAGGAATGCCGCTTTGATATCCACTTGGTCACATTCAAGATCAAAGTGGTTGACAATTGCAAGGAAAACTCGAATTGAATCTTTGTGCGCAACAGCAGCAAAGAGTTCATTGTAGTCCAATCCTTCCACTTGATTGTAACCTTTTGCCACAAAGCGAGCTTTGTAGGTAGATGGGAGACCAGTTTCTCCGTCTATCTTGCGAGTATACACCCATCTCCCCTTTAAAATGCGCATTTTTGGATCCAAGTCCACAACTTCCCAGACTTTGTACTTTGACATTTTTTCAAGTTCTTCATCCATGCTTTTTCTCCAACATTCCCATTCACCTGTATTTTGCGCTTCTCGATAGGAGTTGGGTAGATTTGTGGCTGCGAGTGCATGTGCTGCAAGACTGAATGATGTATCATCATCATGGAGGTTTAGTTCATCTGAATTTTCAGATGAGGAAGAGGATTCTTCTTGTTGCAAATTCTGCGCAAATTGTCGTTGCACAATTGCATTTTGACGTCTGGGATCACGTTCAAGATTTCGTAAAAACTCTTGATTCTGTGCGTTTCTTTGCTCCTCAAGTTGCTCAAAGAGAGTTCGTATGCGCCCCAATGGCTGAGCTTCATTTCGGTTGATTTCGTCTTGTGGGTCTTGCGCAATGTCATTTTTAATTTTTTTAACTCCAATTGAGATTGTTGTGAATTTTGAATTTGCTTTTTGATTATCTATGTCCCTGTAAGACGGATTTGATTGATTTTTGCGGTGAATATCTGCTCCACTACCAATAACATGTGGTGTAAGTTCCAGATCCAGAACTTCAGGAACTTTGGAGAAATCTGATTTTGTAGCGAAAATGACATCTCTTGTGATCCAAATTTTCTGTGTGAGAGTGTCCAAAATGCGAAAGTTGTTTGTACCTTCTTGGTAACCGAGTAGTTGTCCCTCACGATAGCGTTGTGCAAGTTTATTACTTTGTTTATGATCACGGTGGTAGACTTTACACCCAAAGGGTTGAAGATGAGAAAGTCGCTTTTCGCTTTTGTACCAAATGTCATCTGGGACTTGTCGCTTTGGACCACCAGGACACCGATTGCGCGTATAGGCAATGTAATTTGCCGCTTCTGCCCAGTACTTAGCAGGAAGCCCAGAATGCGCCAGGACTGTGCGAACTCCATTGAGAATTGTAAGGTGAAGTCGTTCTGCACGTCCATTTTGTGTATGCGCATCTGGAGGTACTTGGATGTGTTGAATACCATGTGTTGCGCAAAAGTTCCTCATTGCCATAGAACTGAATTCTCCACCATTATCAGAGCGAAGTGTTTTAACTTTAGTGTCAAGTTGTCTTTCTACTTTTGCAATATGATGTTGTAATTGCTCAAAAGCGTCTGATTTGTGTTTGAGAAAGTAAAGATGTACTTTTCGGGTGAAGTCATCATAACAAGATAAGAAATAAAGCGCTCCACTAAGAGATGGAGTTCTGGCTGGTCCCCACAGATCAAGATGAATGACTTGCAGGGGTTCAGTAGCACGAATTTCGCTTGGAATTGATGGTAATCTCCGTCCTTTTCCAACCACACAACTTCTGCACTGGAAATCTTTTGCATGAGAGTTTGTAAATTCACATCCTAACCGTCCTGACTTTGACAGATTTACTAAAGCGCCAGCATTAAGGTGTCCGAGTCGCTCGTGCCAGTCTAGGAATAGGTCAGCTGTGGAAGCGAGATTTGCGTATGAATCGCTTGCCTGTAGGAGATAAAGTCGATTGTGCTTGTGCGCAGAGAGAAGAACTTGATGATTCTTGCAGAAAGTCGCAATTCCCTTTCTGAAGCGCCATTCTGAATCTCCCCCATCTTCCGATGCGCCTACAGACAGCAAATTTCGGTCCAAACCAGGTACTAAAAGCGTATTTGGGAAGTACACACCGTTAATGACTAAAGTACCAGCTTGTTTACATGGTAGAATGGCCGAATTTCCGAATTTTATGCGAGTTTCATTAATGGAATGAATTGAAGAAAGTAAATTTGAGTCATTACACATGTGATGACTTGCGCCTGAGTCTACCACAAATATTGACTTGGAACTTGCAGATAAAGCGATAGGATCATCCGCCGTCGCAATCGCAGTGACAAAAGCGCTTGCGTCTGAAAGATACGCGATATCGGCAGTTACTTTTGTAGTTTCGGTACTTTCTTTGGATTCTTTAGTTGCAAAATTTGCGCTTTTTGAAATTTTGGGTTTACTTTTACAATCTTCGGTTGAATGACCGGTTTTACGATGAAATGAACAGTATTTCGAGTGATCTGCAGGTGGAAATCGCTCAAAAGATTTCTTCTGGTTGTTAAAACTCGATTTTGAGCGAAATTTTGATTTCGCGAACATTCCAGTTGCGCTTTCTCCCTCAGTTTTCCTCCTACTCCATTCTGCTTGAACTCCAGCCTGTACTTCGCTTGAAGATAGCGATTCTCTAAGCCAAAGCGTCTGTTTAAGCGTTGTAAACGACTCTGGAAGCGCCAATGTCATAGCATAAGCTAACATTTTGTCTGACAAGTTCTCCCCAGCCGAATTTAACTGTGCATGTGCACTGCGCTGTGCTGCAAGCGCAGGCATTGGATCCTCCCCTTCTAAAATCGTTTTTCGAGCCATTTCTTGGAAAAGCGCAGCTTGTCTGGCTCCAACAGCTGCAGAGTACTGTTTCTTAATCTCCTCCCAAAGCGATTTCGGATTTGGTGATTTCCAGTCTTTGACATCAGATGGTAAAGCGGAAGAGATTGTTTCTGAAAGCGATTGAAAGATTATCGAATACGCTTTTGCGCTTTCCTTATCTTTCAAGTCTTTAGATGGCGGTTCGGCGTCGATATACGGTAGTAATCCTTTGCCCATAAGTGTGGTAGCGACATGAGCTTCCCATTGCGCATAATTCTCGCTTCCTCGCAATTTTACAATTTTTACTTTTACTTCGGTGTCAGATGAGTCGGACATTTTTCGAGATTGAATATCTCGATAACGAATGAAGGAACGGAGCTGTTTCTGGATGTGGTGGTAGACGCAATGTGTTCCTACAGGTGTAGTAAAATCCAGCCCAGTCGGTTTGAAGTGGACCAAGTAAAACTAGAAAGACGATTTTTGCGATTTCAAATTTGGATTGTGGTGTCAAATTTACCAAATCCAGATAACTTTGAAACGACTGAAGCTACGATGCTGAGATCAAGGGTGGCGATAGGCGCAATGGTAGCGGATGTGTGGGTGAAGTAAGAGGACTGGAGGTGTGGTATTGATTGAGATAATGGAAAAGCGATATTTTCCAAATGTAAATCAGCTGAAGTTCGAACAACAAGGAATAAACTCTCAGAGTGACTCAGCTGATTGCGAGGCGCGCTTGGTATGTCCTAGGACTCAGAGGCGCGCCACTGGGGTGTCCAGATTCGTCTACACCGCTGTATCTAAAGCGATACACGATGCACCTCCCACAATAAAGCAGGTCCGGTTTTAGGAACAAGAAGAGAGTAATGAATGAGAGAAAAAGCGAAAGTGTGGAAGTGATTTCGACTTTTCACCTGCGCTTCTGCAGGACTTGCCTTCACTCCCAGCCGAGAGCGTCGATACCGATACCAGAGGCTTGCTGTAAAGCGTGGATTTGAGGAATAAGAGAAGCGATAATTTATAAAATGTGATGAGGGAATGGAAAGAATTTCCGATTTTGAATTTTTGGTCCTCTGCTTCAACCGCTACTTCAATTTACAATCTGATTTCAGATATAGATAGCTCGCAGCGAAGCGGTGTAGGAACAACAGAGAGCGATAGATTTGGTCGTGAATTGAGGAAATGAGAACGAAGTATCGAATTTCGGAATGAAAAGGTGATGTTTGGAAGTTTGATTTCGAAATTTTGGTCTGCTGGTTCAACCGTTCCACCGAAATCGAGTCTGGTTGTAGATCTAGAGAGAGCACAGTGGGGCAATTCAGGAGATGCTGAGAGCGACGTAATTGGTGTAGAATTGAGGTAAAGAGGATAAAACGTCGGTTTGTGAGTGAAAAAGAAGTCTTATTGTTGCTTACAGAAATTCCGACTTTGTAATTGATCTCCTGTCCCAACCGTTTTTCCAAACGTCAATCTCTTTCTTTCCCTATGTAGCTCCTACTGTCCTCTTTCTAATGATGTAAAAAGCGATGTATTTCGTTCAGAATTGACTGAGTTGTGTTGAAAAAGCGATTTTGCTGGTAAAGGAGGGATATTACAGTTGAAAATTTTCACTTTCGATCTATCTCGCTATTCGTGAATGTTGTCGGTCTCTTCTTTTCGGTAATGGTGGAAACAGTGACGCTCTGTTCAGATCCGAAGAGATATTGAGAATCGGAGCAGTATTGGAGGAGATAGAGTGAAAGTGAGAAAAGCGATTTGAAGCAAGAAGCGAAATTTGGAGTTGAGTTGATGATTCTACTGATTCTAATGCTGGAGGGACCGCAGGGGGTGTCGGGAGCAGTTAGATCTTGTCTTAAGAGCGATATTTCAGGCTCATAACCTGTCAGATGTAGAAAGTAGAATGCATGAAGAGTACAATATTGACAGAGGTTAGTATGAGACGAGGGAATACGCGGAAATAGCGATAGCGCTCCAATGTGGCAGTTACCGATTGCTCTATTTCCGACAAATTTCGACCGCACAGGAATTTCGACCGGATGATCATGCATGACTATGTAATGAGTTCTTATGGGTACAGTAAGCACAATGAGCCTCTCAACATCTAAGAGGACCACGAGAAGGGCCCGCAGATGCTTCTCCTGCCAGATTTGGGCTGCCCGTCAAGATCTCAGCTGCAACCGGTGAAGTACCCTTCCCCTTCCCCTTCTCCTTCTCCTTCCCCTTCCCCTTTCGCTTATCCATCTGTTTTTGTCGCAATTTTACTCGCTTAGCTTCCTGATCTCTTGCTAGCTCTTCCCTGTACGTCTCTGTATCCTCTGGATCAAACGCTTTCCCAAATGAATACCTCGCCCGCTTCTGACTCCCTCTGACAATCCTCTCGAGGGCTGCCGTCTCCTGCAATCGATTGATATCCTGATCCTTCAATTTCTCTCGTGTCAATGCCCCTTCCAAGTCAGCAGCTTTCTTCTCTTCCACCTTAGCCCTTGTATATTGACCTTGCCGGACCCCTCTCTCATTTGCTTTGTAAGTTTCAAGATCCGTTGGTACAGGAGGGTCAATCTGGACAGACAGAGGTGGACTGAGGACTCGAGACGCACCCATCACTCGCTGATCCAATGGCCACAAACCCGAGTCTCTCCATGCACTCCGTAATTGCCTGGTCTGAGCCCTCTCTCTCCATGCTTCCTGATGCCAACGGTAAAAGACTCCCTTAGCTATACTGGGGGAAGTGTTTCCAAGGAGGTATTTGTGGAGATGTTGTTTGTATGCGTTTTTAAGTGGTCCAAAGAAGTTAACATCGAGAGGCTGAAATTCGCTTGACATATTGGCAGGAAGAATGATAGGAACAATGTTGCGAGACCAACAGGATTCAAGGAAGTCGAGTTGTACATGAGCATCAAAGCCATCGAGGAATAGCAGGCGTCGATCTTTTCCATTACGGGCGATTGCTTTTGTTGCAGGATCAAATATGTCCTCTAGCCACATCTTCCTAATATAGCTGTTGGAGTATCCAGAGAAGGTGGTGATAGCTCGCTGAGGAATGGAGGGATTTCGTTCCGCTGTCCATCCCTCAAGAACCGACTCCCCTTTATAGATGACAAGGGGAGGGATTGGTGCTGATTCTGTGCCGATACAGGCGACAACTGTGATATGCTCGCTATTTGTTGGGAGGGTTTGGGCTTTACGATGAGTGGAGCGAGGGGCTACAGTGCGTGTACGGTGTTGGAGAGCAATATCGAAGCCAACTTCATCCATGTTGTAGATGTTATGAGGGAAATAGGTGTGAGAAGTGTAGATATGCTTGACCTATCTGTCAGATCCAACTCTCAACATTGCCAGCGGTGCTTACCAGTTTGTACCAAGCTTGTCGAGTCTCTGGGGTATCTGCTTGATGGCGTGCAATCTCACGGAAGTCATGAAAACGAGAATGTATACGGTCGGAATGTCGTTTGATGAATGTGGAGACCCAATTGATGCCCAATTTCTCTCCATGAACCGCCTCTGCCATTTCCCTCACTGCTTTTGGAGCTACTAGGGTCCCCCGCTGAGCATACATGTTGATATTCTCGAGGATTTCTTCTTCCTGTGCTGGAGATAGAGCGTGATGAGCAGCAGAGACATGGTCGGAGTGTGTCCCGTTATATCGGTCGTGGAGGGTTGTTTTCGGTACTTTGAACTGGTCTGAGATGTGTTTGAAGCTCTCCTCAGGATGCTCACGCTTGTACAGAACAGCTGCAGCGAGCGGGTCACTCATTCCTGGAGAAATATGGAATGCAGATATCAAGTACAAGATCTATGATGGCGTTCGAAACTGACGATTGTTCAAAAGTCACGTGAACCCGAGTAGAGTAAAGAGGTTAAGACGTGATAGGGGTTTTGATGGTCAAGGGAGGGTCATTGTTGGTGGAATTATCAAGGTGTCACGACGTAGTTCGTGACAAAGATGTGATGTGGGAATGAAGTGTTTGGAGGAATTTCCGATGTGAATTCTTGATCTCCTGCTTCGACCGCTGGTCCGATTTATGATTTGCTTTCGGAAACAGATAGAGCGTGGTGGAGCAATGTAGGAAAGACAGAGAATGATAGGATTGGTGGTGAATTGGGGAAATGGGAACAAAAGTTGAATTTGAGATTCAAATGGTGGGGTATGGAAATTCAATTTTTTAATTTTGCTCTGCTGGTTCAACCGTTCCACAAAAACCAAATCTGAGTGTAGGTCTAGAGAAAGCACAGTGAGGCAATTCAGGAGACGTTAAGAGCAATGGAATTGGTGCAGAATTGAGGTGATGAGGAAAAGAATTCAATTCTGAGTGTGGAAGCTGTCTTATTGTTGCTTACAAAAATTCTGTCTTTGTAAATGATCTCCTGTCCCACCCACTGTCTCAAACTTCAGTCAGTAGCTCCTAGTGTCCCCTTTCATGATATAAAGAGCGATGGAGTTCGTTCAGGAATGAATGAGTTGTGTTGAAAAAGTGATTCTGCCGGTTGAAGGAGGGAGGATATTCAATGGAGAAGATTCAATATTGGACTCAAAAGATTTCACTTTCGATCGATCTCGCTATTTGTTAATGCGGTTGATCTACTCTTTTCGGTGATGGTGAAGACAGTGACGCTCTGTTCAGATCCGAGAAGATATCGAGAATCGGAGCAGTATTGAAAGAGATAGAGTGAGAGTGAAAAACACAATTTGAAGCAAAAAGCGAAATTTTGAGTTGAGATGAAAGATTTTCACTTGCGATCTATCTCGCTATTCGTTAATGCTGTCAGTCAAATCTTTTTGGTGTTAGTGGAGACAGTGACGCTCTGTTCAGATCCAAAGAGAGAGAATCGGAGCAGTATTGGAGGAGATAGAGTGAGAGTGAGAAACACGATTTGAAGCAAAAAGCGAAAGTTTCAAAGTGGGTTGATGGTTCTACTGATGGTTCTACTGATTCTAATGCTGGAGGGACCTCACGGGTGTCGGGAGCAATTAGATAGTGTCCTAAAGAAGTGATAGAACGTCTTAAAGAAGTGATTCAGGCTCATAACCTGTCAGATGTAGAAAGTAGAATGCATGAAGAGAAAGTACAATATTGACAGAGGTTAGATATGAGACGAGGGAATACGCGGAAATAGTGATAGCGCTCCAATGTGGCAGTTGCCCGATTGCTCTATTTCCGACACAATCCTTTTTAGGATTTGCCAACTTTTACTGGCGTTTCATCAAGGACTTTGCTCAGAAATCAAAGGCTCTACATGACCTCACCCACAAGGATATTAAGTTCATGTGGAACGATGAGGCCCAGAGGTCCTTTGTTGCTCTGAAAGAATCCTTTCAGTCAGATGCCTTACTATGGCATTTCAACCCCTCACGTCCTGCAATTATCCAAGCAGACGCTTCTGACTATGCAATTGGAGCTGTTCTTTTACAGGACTTTGACAATGGCCTTCAACACCCAGTCACATTCTTCTCCCCAAAAATGCTACATGATAAGGAACTCCTTGCCATAGTATCTGCTCTCAAGGAATGGCGCCCATACCTGGAAGGCTCACCTTACAAAATCACAATCCAGTCCAATCACCGTTCACTTGAATACTTTGCAGGGGCTAAACAGCTTAACCACCGGCAAGCTTGATGGTATGAGTTTTTGGTTGACTTTGACTTTGTCATAACCTACCGTCCGGGAGCCACCAATATCGTTCCCGACACCCTCAGCAGACAACCAGATTATCTTCCAAATACGCTCAATACCTTGCAAGATCACAATTTCCATCCACTCCTCAAACCAGAACAACTGGCCCGCCAACTCAATGCGGCCTTCTCCATCGCCTCCCACCTCTATGATGAAATCTGTTCGGAGCAACATAAAGATAAAGCTCTTACATAGTATCTGACCACTCCTCTAAAAGTTCCCTTTCAACTTGACCTACAAGGCACATTACGATACCATGATGCCCTGGTTGTTCCAAACACAAATGACCTTCACCTTCGTATTACACAAGACCACCATGACTCATTACTGGCTGGGCATCCTGGCCAAAGAGCCACAATTCAAGCAATTCAAAGAAACTACTGGTGGCCCCAGATGCAACAATTTATCACCTCCTATGTTGATCCTTGTGAAACATGTCAAAGGAATAAATCAACACGACACAAGTTGTTTGGACAACTGAAGTCTCTCCCTACTCCCCCTTTTCCTTGGACATCAATCTCCATGGATCTCATAGAACAACTTCCCGCTTCAGAGCAATTTAATTCAATTCTGGTGGTTGTGGACCGTCTTACAAAGATGGCCGTATTCATACCTACAGACACCAAACTCACTGCTGAAGCCCTTGCAAGATTGTTTCTCACTCATGTCTTCTCCAAACATGGGCTTCCTGAAAACATTATATCGGACAGGGGATCAGAGTTTGTGTCTAAATTCTGGCGCTCCTTCACAAAAGCGTTAGGCATAGAAAGTCGACTCAGTACAGCCTATCATCCACAAACAGATGGACAAACTGAAAGTGTGAACCAATCATTGGAACAATATCTGTGGATGTTTGTAAATCTCTTGCAGACCGGCTGGTCTACTCTTCTGCCCCTTGCTGAATTTGCTTACAACAATTCCACACATTCAACAACAGGTATATCTCCATTCTTTGCAAACAAAGGATATCATCCAAAATTTGAACCATCTATCCCAGCTCTCTCAACATCAACATCAACAGGTGTCCCATTTGCGGCCAAGTTGGATCACCTGCATGAATATCTCAAACAACAAATCACAATATCAAATCAGCAAGCAGCAAGATCATATAATCGTAAACATCTACCAGCTCCATTCTATCCCATTGGAAGTCAAGTTTGGCTATCTACTGAAAATATCAAGTCCAAAAGACCAACAAAAAAGTTAGACCAAAGATTCATTGGACCCTTCAAGGTCCTTGCATTTATTCCTCCTCAACAATACCAGCTTGATCTTCCATCCTCCATTTCCATCAACAATGTGTTCAATGTCAAGCTACTGGAACCATACATACCCAACAAGATTCCTAACTAAATAAGCCCTCCCGCTCCACCAGTGGATATTGAAGGTGACCTTGGATATGCGGTCGAAGAAATCCTTGATGTCCGGGTGAAGAAGGGAAAGAAGGACCTGTGGGAATATATTGTAAAATGGGTAGGGTACAGTGCAGAAGACAACACATGGGAACCTCTTCCTAATGTCCTTAATGTGCTTGGCAGTGTATATGATTTCCGTCATCAATACCCTAGCAAACCTCAACCTCCTTCCCTTCCCCCTCCTCCTCTTGGATACGGAGCACCAAAGCCTACATGAGCTCTTCAGATCAGCTCATAGGTGAGCTGTTCATGGTTTGGCGTATTGTTGGAGAGCTCTCGCATCTTCCTCCTTCCAGTAGCGTTCACTTTTTTTCTCTTCCTCCTTCCCCCCCCCCCCCCCCCCCTTCCGGGATTGAACCCTTTATTGGCTTCAATTTCCTCCGTCTCCAACACTCTTTTCATCTGAGCTGGTCCCTAGCTTATCATAGACTACCCGTTTACTCCTTGGGATTCATGCTTTGATTGTGTTCTTGAATGCAAGCTGCGGCGTCTGCTGGTAAGGGCCATCAGAGATTTATATCCCCCCTTTCTTCCGGATGTTTCAGATATGGGGTTCTCACCCGGATTTGGGCTTCTTGCCCTGTGAGCATGTTTATGAATCACAATTTACATCAGAAGAAAGGTGGAACTCAGGGCTATCCAGGGATACCTGATTCATGGCTGTACCTCTTACGGCTGGGGAACCGCAGCTCTCCAAAGTCAGACCACCTTTCTTCCCCCACTTCTCAAACACCCATTTTCCCTTCCTTACACCCCCTGCCACTCGGACCCAATTTACGCAGGAGCAACTGGACAAATTTTCATCTCCAAGCAATTTCCTGAAAGCTGAGAAACTCAGCTACTCAAAAATACCCTTGTCCACCCCGTACTTGCAGGGACAAACCCACAATCCTACGCTGAACAACAAGTGTAGAAAACTCTGTGTATTCCTCCCTCCCTTGAACCCCATTTTTGATCCTCACGGAAATTACCACTGCGCAATGACGGTAGCAGGTAGAGAGACTCTTGAGAGCTCTACGTAACACGCACACCAAGCGAAACAATAATGGTTCAAACTACTAGCCTTTGATTGCAATCTCCAAGGCTACAATCATCATCGAAAACAATAGCCAAAAGTGATTTTCATCTACTTCGCCTATCATCCCATCTGTGTTCAGATGTTGGACAAATCAATACTTGCATGTACCTATCTAAAGTTTTGCTGTTCAACTATTCTCTATGTACTATTGACTGGTCTATATGTCTAATAGATAAGAGGCATACAAAGCATAGCCACAACGTTGAAAAAGTGCTGCGCCATCGAAAAGTACATACCCTCAACCACTTCCCTCTGCCTCTCGTTTACCACCAGTGCCACCGCATACTGTGCATACTCCTGCATGGAGGTACGGACCTTGAGTAGTACAGCTTGAAGAGCAATCCTGTCAGCCCTATCACATACACGATGACGGGCACGACAGAGAGTGCATCAACTCTGGTTGCCAGTTGAGGTGCAATCGCCTGCACGC